TTTTCATATCCATCAATTATTAAGGAGAAAATTTTTATACTTTGAAGAATTATTATTTTTTTAATTTTTAAAATTTATTTATTTATTTTTACACCCACTTCCCAGACATCAACATTTTGTACAAATTATTTATCAAGATTGAGAACTGGTCTAGTGAATGGAAAACAATTTATTTTATTTCTTTTTCTTAATACTACTAGCAACGTTATAAAATAATTAGGATCAGCATTTTACTTCATATTTATATAAGATGTCAGTAATAATACCATCAGCAGACATACTGAAGAATTTAGGAAAGAGGAAGAGAAATTAAAACTGGTCCATTGAATCCACTTAACTCCTACAAACAGAATCTAGCCGAGTGCATTTTAAAGTGATATTATCTGGAAAGAAGTATATTCCACTCAGTGTGTTTCAGAGTTAAAGTAAGCATTAGGTACTATACTAGACAACCTGTTTGTACATCTAAAGAGTGAGAAGAATCAACACTGAACAATGAGTGAGAAGATTCAGGCAGTTGAGGTAGTGTTACAGTCTTTAATCTTTTACTCTCTTGGATTTGAACAACTATACACAACTTTACACGAAGAGTGCTGGACATATTTGAAACATAATTAAAATTTATGTATATCAAATAAATAAAGTTCAAGCATTTACAATGAAATATTAAAAGAAATGAAATATTAAAACAAATTTAAACCAAGAATGGCTTAAATATGGTTAAAACCTTAAATGACCTAGGAAAGCATGCAATTTTTCAGTGTATAAACTTGTCCTTGTGGGTTACCTGAGATGCAGGGATGCTAAGCAGAGGAAGAAACCCATCTTTAACATTTGAAAGTGCTGCTGTACAAATGCAGTTTCAGTGGAAGGTGCAGATAAGGTTGATGGAAGTCTAGAGCAGACACACTTATCAGCAACCCCAGAGCTGCCACTGAATGGGAAGTCGGTAGAGATCAGGGGCTGAGAACAGAAAGCACCTTAACTGAAAATGATGAAATTAAAGTGTTATGGGCTCACATCTTCAAGATGAGTTCTTTGGATGAAAAGAAAATTCTCCCTGCAAGATTATAAAACTTAAAATATCCATTTACTTCAATGTCCCTTTGTAACGCCAAAGTGAAACAAGTCTTCATCCAGGGATGTCTTAAAGGATTACAAAACAGGTCGGAAATAATGGACAAAAACTCAAATCCCGAAGCATAACTTTTGACACAACTTCAAATTTATTTCCCCTAAATATGCTAGGGTATTGAAGAGAAAAAAAAATGGAGAGAACTATAATTTAGCACTGAAGTGACCAGAAAATTTAAAACTATTACTATATGAAATCTATCATTAAGCACAGAAGTATGTACAGACAAGGAGTTCAAGATGCTCACAGGGCTCTGAAGACCTATGCTCTCTGTGGTGAGAGAAATGGTGAATTTGAGCCAAAGAAGACAAAGGAAATATATAGAAATCTCCATTTTTAGCAAACGTTGTTAAAGAAGAAATTTGTAGTTCGCCATCTAAAGACGTGTCTGCGGATTTGATCCCATTGTGTGAGGAGAAATAAAGCTTTGGGCTTGTGTGGATGCCACAACTCATACTTAGCGTTCATTGGTGCTTTTTCTGGAATCTGATATGAAAGAGCAGCAGCAATAAAAAACCACTTTACTAACTAAAATATTATGACATCCTAGGGTTTTAAAGAGCAGTCAGGATTATGCTTATTTTTAAATTTGAAGCCCCTTAGGATTTAATGGGAACCAAACGTCAAACTAAACATGGAATGTCGTTTTATTATACATATTAAGAAACATGGCAGATAATTGTAACTTAGCTGGTTTTTTATCTCATGAGATTTAAAGAAGGTATATTTCAAAACTACAAGTAACAGATTTTGAAGATTCTTATTTATTTATTTTAATTTTTATGTGTGTGAGTGTTTTGCTTGCATGAATGTAAGCCCATCCACGTGTACAACGCTGGCACAGGTCAGAAGATGGCATCAGATCTCTTAGAA